TTACTGCCTCAAAACAACAACAACAAAAAAAAAAACAAAACAGACCACAGCATTCAGCTGTGGATGTCAGCTGTCCCAGCTGAAGTGCTTAGATCAACATGTCATGAAGGAGCATAAACCTCATGGATGAATGAAAGGATATGAGCTTTTTCTTAAAGTAAACCTCCAGAAAGCCCTATTGTGGCAGACAGATTAAGGAAGCTTCCTTTTATGAACATAATTAACATGGGAATAATATATGGGTAGTTTCATCTGGGCTAAGGAGAAACAACATTTTTGGGCTCCTAGAAAATAAATGAGGGTCACTGTTAAGCACGAAACTACACGAAGTTGCCTAAATATTTTTTTCTATACTTAGTATCTTTTCTAGGATAAAAGAAACCATAGTAAATCAATTTTAAAAAGATCATGTTAAAATTCACCAAAATGGGATATATATTTAAATTGAGCCTGGAACTGCAATTTGTGAAGCTATATTTAACAAAGATGAATGTTTTGTTTCATAGTTTAATTACAAACCTTTGCAAAACCATCAGTTGCCACAATACCCGATTTCTATTCTCTTTGCTTAAATAGCCTTGTTAATTAACCTGCTTTTAAAGGAGAAGCAACAGGGGGTTTTTTTGTTGTTTCTGCTCTCAGTTTGAAAAGACAAATCAGAACAACAAATATTTTTCTCTAATTTTTTTTATTTTTTGATTTAGGACTTTTTCAGTGGTATAAAAGCAGTAGGTCTCATCCATGCTCTCACATTCCCATATGACCACAAGGCACACAAACAGCTCTCCTTTATAGTAGAAAAAAGGACTCTAATCCTTCCAACATCACCAGAATATAAGGTTCAGAGGCTAAACCAAGATTAAAAACTATCCTTCATGACACATAAAATTATCTGAAAGGATACAGACCTCAAGACACAGTGAAAATTCTCCTGACACAACGTCAGCCCCCTCTCAGACATTTTTCATGTGAATTGAGCAGTAGAAGATGCACACAGCACTGCCCTTGGTTTTTATGCAAGTTTGTGTCACTACTTGCTCTCAGACTGTCCAGGTGCTTTCTGGTGACACCAAGTCTTTGGTGAATGAGGCTTTCCTCTCCCCACCCCTCAAACATGCTTCCATCCAAATGAAACGTTAGAGAGAAGTAGGAGATATCCTTTGCCTCCACCATGGCCCCCGCCCCCCCACCATCCCCCCAAAAATGATGAAGAAATACAGTGGTTCTGGTTTTGGTTACTTTCATACAGATAGATACAAAATTTATTGCAAGAGGGATGCTGAAATTTAGACACAGAGCTAGGATGACATTTTTCTATGTATTACTCATTTCCCCTTGATTTAATCAGAGAAAAATGCTGTGCTTTACACAGCTTCCTTATAAAACTTAATCTAACCCAAGTTGAAATTAATCTGGTCCAAAATGAACTTCTGGATTTTGCTAATTTTGTCTAACTTTGCCCAGGGTAATTTAAGCTGGAAATGAGCAATGAAATTCAATACTCAGAAATTTTTGTGTGTTTCATAGTTCAAAGGGGAATCTTCCACTTTCCAGGGCTCTGTGGGTCTACTCTTATATTATAATGGTGAATGCTCCCACCATGTCAGGACGAGAACCCCTAGATGACAAATCCATTCCTTTAAGTAATAACACCCCCTTGAACTTGACCAGAAAAGGCTGCTTAAAATATGTTTAAAATTATAGTTCCTTTTGAAGCAATAGGTACTAAATGTGCTATGCAAAGATAGCCCATCAATTTGCTGCCAAAATGATTATTAATTAATTGAATTAAAATACAAAATTTGTATTAACAACAGTGCCACTTTCTTTTTCATTTCAGTAAGCTTGAACTAGTGACTTTCTGTGTGTTTATATTTCTTGTGTCTGTCACAGATACTCTTCAACAGATGAGCTGAAGGCTTGATCATACAAGTATACAGTATATTTCTGAAGTAACAGATCAGCGAAGATTTCTCACTCCCAGTTCTCCAAGTTCAGGCCCACTAATCCTTATACAATCATTTTTTTATTAATTATTTTGCCAAACGTGTGAAAGTGCAAAGCACTCCCCTTGACAGAAGCACGACATAAAATTTGAAAGCACAAGCCCCTTGCCTACAAAACCCAGGACAGTCTCATGAGATCACGGGCCACAGACTCCCCACAGACTCTTCTCTTGCTGCACCTTCACTTTACTTCTTGCCACCAAAAGCATCCTCACAATATTTTGAAATGGCATTTGCATATTATTTGAAAGGTCTAGAAAGCTATTAACTATCTGAAAAAACAATTAAAACAGTCACAGTCCTGAGTACTTCACAATCCTGTATTCAAAGGAATCTTGCAGAAACACACACATGTTGGATTAAAATACTTTCCTACTCGTTTCTTTATAAACCAGGAAAATAACTTCTCGACTGGTAACAGAATTGCTCAGATAGAGCTGGAGTCCAGCTCATGTTGTCTTGTACACTTTTCTTATGGCTGCTCACCAGCCCAGCTAAAACTCTGTTTAAAGCTGATGTATGTGTCTTGATTTAGCATATTTTTGGGATTTCAATAATATGCAGATGTCTAACCCCAAGAGCCATTAGGCATATAAACATTTTTAGCTCTTGGTCTGATACATGTCTTTTGGTTGATCAGTTTTCAAAATATCTATTTGTACTTGTGCCAAATAGTCTGCCATTTCCATATATGCCTCCAGTTTGTGCATCAGCACTTTATAAATCTCCAAATAAAATCTTCCATGTTTATTTTTCTTAGAGAGAAAATCCCATTTAAAAAGCGTGGGCCTCCTTTATTTATATGTATTTTTCTATTGAGATGGTATCTGTATACTTTCTAAATCATTTTGGTGTTTGAGGGGTTTTATTATTGAAAGAGAAAATAAAAATAATACTATAAATATATTGCATTTCTACTGTGGGCTTTATTTATACATAGCTTAAAGCACATAATAATCACTTTTTGGCTGATGGTACTGCCAAAACACTAGTGTTATGATAGAAAGGAGAGAAAAAAGGCTTTCCTGAAGCTAAGCCAATATTTTGTCAACGCCCTGATCTCCTAAAGGACACCCACTTGCTTTTTGATAGTTCTTTGTTCCTTTCACTATGTATGCTTTTTCAGGTGTTTAATTTCTTGAAGTAAATTCTGAAGAATGTGCTTAAAGGATGTCAGCAAATATATTATAGCATATATTTATCTTTTTTTTCTCTCTCAGATCCTGTTTGATATATACATTTTGGCTGATTAATATTCAAAACATCTATTTGCATTTGTGCCAAGTATAAATTTCTATTAACAATTTACTCCCCCTCATCAGAGAAGGGGATTTCTCACCTTCTGGTCTAGAAAGGAAAAAGTAAAACCTGGATGGGACTGAATATCCCAGTAATCACAGAACATTGTTAATTGCATTTACCCCAGCCATCACTGGTGGCACCACAGCCTATTGTCCTGATGGTGCTTCCAGAGATAGCTCAGAGCCTTCTCCTTCACTTCTATAATCTCTACAAGCCTGCATGGAAGCTCCTAGAAGGTATCCATGCTGCCATGTAGGCAGCCATGATTTTATCCCGGGCAACCTGGCCTGAAAATATTTAATCCAGGATATCTAACAGCATAGCAAGAGCAGGCTTAGAGGCTCTGTACATTCAAATATTTATGCTTCCTGGGTGAGTCTGGCAAGAAGTGCTGCCAAGTGTACCTTTATCAGTGTCCTACGCTGGCTAATTTAAAATTAACTTGGGCACTGCCTACATGAGTCGCAGCAACGTGTTTGACCGAAACCACCGTGTCCCTCCAGGCAGGGTACCCAGCTCAGGGGAAAGGCAGAGCTGAGAAGATCATTTTGTGATTCAAAACCTGAGCTACTTCACCAGAGAGACTGACAGCATAATATAGCACTGTATAGCAGTGCTGGAGAGAGCAACATCACTCGAGAGAGATGTAAAAGAGGAAACCAACAAGCGTTTTGGAGAGAACCTGCACTCAAGGCTGCCCTGGCAGCTGTGACAAAGCTTCACTGAGGTTGGTTTTTCACACCTGTGCTCACAAGGTGCTCAGAGACCTGTGGTCCAATGAGTAAAATTAGGGGCATCCTTCACATGATTTCATAGTTTTCGGGAATTGGCATTTATCAGAAACCTTTAAACCTTTAAAAAAAAAAAAAAACAACACTGAAGGAGTGGCAGAGGAAAATAAAGGGATTTGCAAATTTCCTCACTTTGTCCTACAGAGTTTTGTCTGAGTATTATTCCAGAATTAGAACCTGATTGTTCTTCCTGATTGTCTCCTTTTGAGTGAAAAGCGCTTAATTAACGTAGAGAGATCAAGTTAAATAATGAAAAACTACCAAGCATCTTGGTGCGTATTTATATACAGGATTGCTCCAGAAGAACACACACTGTTGTAAAAGTAATTCACTCATTTTCCAGTGCGTTTCAAATTATGTACACAGCCATATCAGGCAAAATGAAAGCTTAATCTCTTCTCAGGAGACAGCAAATGCAGTTCCCCACTATAGAAATGATCTGGCATGTAGGAAATCCCAGCTCCGGCTGCTTTTTCCCGGTGATTTAAACGGAGCAGATCCCGCTCGGTTTCTGCGACCCTTGTAACTCTCCCTGCTCCACCAAACCATGTGTTTGTTGTGTTTGAGTAGCGCTCTCCCCGCCAGATCGGTTCACTTCGACTAGACTAATTCAAGACCAGGAGGAGTAGTACGAATTTGCTGTTAAAAAAGGAAACAAAAAAAAAAAGTAAGCACAGAACTATTGGGGGAAGAAGTAAGAAGTGCTGTGTGCGGGCAGGAAGTGTCCCGTTTGCAGGACTGCAGAATTATCTCAGGTTTCTCGTTTCCTAGGAACGTAGTAACTTCCCCGGGGTTGTTTTGTGGGCGGTGTTTTTGAATTTATGCTAATTCAGCTCGGCTGACAGGGAGAGGAGCCGTGTCTCGGTGCCACAGCTGTGCTGACAGCCGGCAGTGGCGGGCGCTGCCGCCGGGCCAGGCCATGGGCTGGCGCTTGTGACAGGGTCCCTCGCCCGGCCCTCGGGTCGCCTCTGCCGCCAGCAGCGGGGCCGACATGTGCCTATGACCATGGAGATGAAGGACTCGGGCAGCGTGGTGCTGACAGCCTACCATCCCCACAGCCCCGCCAGGATCCCGGGCATGGAGCAGAGCTTTGTGCAGGATGTGCCCCCCGGCCACTCGCCCGGCAGCAGGTAAAGGCCGAGGGGGGGAGCGGGGCCCTGGGCCAGTGTTTTGCCAGGCTCGGACGTGTGTTCTGTGTCAGCCTGAGAGCTCGGACACTCGAGAGCACCTCGCTCATTTCTCGTCCCTCCCGGGGCAGTGATTCAGCCCAGGGGTGCGGGTTGGGCTTGGGAGGGGGAAACACGAGTGCCTGTTTTAAATCTTGTAAGTCAACAGATCAGGCCAGTTTCCTGCCCAGGACACTCAACAAGACAATCCCTAGGAAAGAAGGCACGTGAATCAGGCTTCTGCTCAGATAGTTTAGGACTGTGCTGCCAAAGAGTGAGGTGGTGGGACCGGCTGAGCTTGGCGCTCAGAAAGTTGATTCTGGCTTTGGTTTAGAGGATTATTTAATTCCTTCTCCGTTCACTCGCCGGGTCAGAACCAGCCCTTGTGCTTCTCTCTGTGAAGCTGAGGTTGCTGCTTTGCTTTGCACGCACAATGGGGGACTGCGTCGCTAAAGACTCACTCTAAATACGAAAATGCCTTTGTGTTGCAGGAAACTAAGTATTGTCTTAATTAATGCCGTCGCGTGTATGTTTACCTTCCTGCCTTGTAAGAATGCATGTATTTGCACAGTTCAAAACCCAGCGGTTTGAGCAGTTTTACTATTTCAGAAAATCTGATCTTTATCCTAAATATACGTATGCTGAGTTTTGCAACTTTCTCCAAAAGAAGTGATATAAAAGTTCATACTGTAAAAAGTTGAAGAAAGTAGCAAAACTTGCATTATGGCTTGACTGAAAAAATAAGAAGTTTAAGGAAACAGCAGATGACATTATCTCCATGAATTAAGTCTGGGTCTTCTCTTAACAAAAATAATGATATTTACTTCATATTGTTTATTTATAGCCCAATAGCTATTTTGTTTTCAATGTCATTATTTACATTAGCTGCATCTTCCTGTTCTTTGTGTGTTTCCCTGGCTGTCCCATAAAGATAACTCCTTTGTTCTGGTAAGGAGAGCAGTACCAAAATACACAATTACATGTTGAGAAAAGAAACTGGAGTCTGGGCGTTTAGACGCAGTAAGAATGGCATTTGCTACTCAAAACAGAGAGCAGTGGTTTGGCATTGAGTTACAGGGAAATTTAGTTTTTTTCCCTGTGCTCTTCCCTTAAGAAGAGTACTAAACTCAATCTCCCTTTAAGTTTGTGAGCAACAGAAATGTGGTGTTTTGCTGGTTTTCATGTTGCTGTGCTACTTGTTTTGAAATGCACTTGATACTTAAGCTCAGAGTATCTGGGGGTTTAAATCACACACATAAATCACATGCATATCACCTACAAAAAGCAGAAGTGCCAATTACAGTTCCTGAAAGAAAATAACTAAAGCGGATTCTGACATTTGCATGAGGAACGTATTTTGGAAGCTCCTGCCATGAGCCAAAGCCATGTGTCTCTCTCCATGTCTACATATCCATAAGAGTTTGGTCTCCCCTTTCTTGTCCTCAACTTCCCACAGCTGTCTAATAGCAATAGGCAAATTCTGCCATATGGGCAGTCAGTGGCTGTCTAAGCTTCCAAAGCCTGTTCAAGAGAGTGATTTTATTAACCCAGCATGAAGTCCTCTGGAATGCAGAACCCATGAAGGCAAATGCACTGAGTGTTTTAGCAAATGGTAAAATAGGCTCTGGCTTAATCCCTACTTCATCTTCTAAGAACTCTTTCCTGAACTGTATTTTCTGTATAGTTTCCTCTGCCACCATCCTAATGCAAGAGTTTTTATTATAAGTTCTGTCTGGTGTTCCTTGATCCCTAGGGCAGCTACCCAGACTATGGCATGTTAACTCCTTAGCTCTTCAGGAAAATAATTCAAAAAAGCAGGAAAAGAACAGAGGTGTCACCCTTTTCTTGTTTGATAACAAAAACTGTTGGGACCCAGAGCCTGAAGTCGGCTGCTTAAGTTACATGTAGCTCTAAAGCACTCTGTGTTTGAGATGTTTTTCCATTGCAATACAATCTGTCTTGGATATTAGCCTTTGATTTGGTAAACTGCTGACCAATTCTCTCTCCTCTTAGGAATCAAGATACTTCATTTTCCTTTGTCTTTTCATAACATTTTGCTTGCTTTAGAGTGATGCACTCTTTATATTAGAATAGATCCTCTCACCAGAGTCAGGCGTGGAGTTGTCTTCCAGCTGTTTTCTCTTGCAAAAAACTTTCCCTTTGGAAACCTTCTGATCAGAGTTTTCTCACAAAAAGTGGAATCTAATGCAGCCTCAGCCAGCAATTAACTGCACCACTCCTCACCATTAAAAAAGACACTGATAAAAAAAGAAGCAAAGATTCAAGTAACCATTATGAGCCCCTAAACAAATGAGTAATCTTAAACACTCTTGACAACCCAGACACACAGCTGAGTAGCCCATCTATTTGAGAGGTTATACTAACAGATGCATCAAACCACTTGGATTCATATTCATGCCCAGCTCTCAAAGGCTGGCATCCTGTGTGCATTTCTAAAATACACTGCCAGCATCAGGGTCAGCATGAAGTATAGCAGCTGCAAGCATTTCCAATTCTAAGCCCAGTGGGTATATGCTCCATCATAAGTTAGGGGATAGTAAGTGGTGGGCTGTAAGGAGAAAATTTGCTTAAATTGCTTTGAATGGAGGATGGATCAGTGTGCAGTGAAGGATGGAAAATTCATAGAAGTAATGAAGAGGAGAGTGAAAGTTTCACTGCATAATGATGCCATCACCATTTTGCAAAAGAGAATTCTAACTTCCAGATGTAGCATTGGATAATATCAATAAAGTGGTTAAGAAAGGGGCCACAGATGCTACCCATCCTCCAGAACAAGAGTTCATCAGAGGGACTAAAGACTTAAATATCTTGACTTCACTTATCCGTATAGTTCAATTCTATCTCTCCCTGTTTGTTGCATCTTGAAGAGTTATTTAACCTGTTCTATACATGGGCTGGGGTGAGCCCTGAAAACTGCACTGTTGAATATCCTGGAGTTCCAGGAGAATTCTCCAGACAAACCTTCCTTTAATGCTAATATAACTAGCAAGTTCATTTTCCATTTTCTCATGAGATATTAAGGTCTCTTTCCTTAGTTTGCCATCCGCTTTTATGTGCATTTTATAAGCATTTATAGTAATCGTATATATATTTTTTTATTTATTGCTTGTGAGAACGAGGTGTTGGGGAGATTTCTGTTTTGTTTGCTTGGAAGTCAGGCCAGCTCTACAGCATACGAGTATAGTGGAAAAGATTCCTGTTCTTGTGGCAACTCCATCACTTTTTTGAAATCCTGTTTGTTAGAAAATAGATGTCACAAATACCAGCACCAAAGAACCCAGAATATCACACTATGCCTGTCAATACAGATCTGTCTCAGTGCAAAGGTGAAAGTGCTGATTTATGTTACATAGTGGTCAACTTTGGCTTCTCATTTCAGAGAATGAAGGACTTTGTAGTTGTGCACAAGCACTGCTCCTGGGTTGTATAGAGGAAAAGTGAAGCCATGGCCATATGTCTTTCTCACATCCCCTTTTTATCCTGTTAGGAGTAGCTAGGAGGAGTTATTCCTGTACTCAAAGGAAACAGGCATGACCTCTATGCCAAATGGCCAGAGAGCTCTCTAAGGTAATTATGCAATTAGGGGAAGACAAAGCATTCCTAAGTGAGTCATGCTCCAGCTTTCCTTGACTCCAGTTTGATAATTAGTGTGTTCCTCTGCTTGCTACCAGCACATCTACCAGCACAGAACTCATCCTGCACAGCAAATCACATTTTCACTGCAATGAGTGGCTGTCACTTATGTGAGCATGAACTAAGAATTAGGGCAAAGAAAAAGCATGTTCATAGGGTTTGCTCCTGCAGAATGGTGTGAGAGCAGCTTTTAAAGCGAACATTAAGCTTTTTACACATGGAGTAACCTTCTCAATCAATAATCATGCAAAGAGCAGTATATATACTCTAAACTTAGGAGCTTGCTGCATAGGTAAAGGACAAAATAGATGTCAGCACTATTGATCAACACAGCCAAGAGCCCTTCTTACTGTCTTCTCTAGTCAACTGCAAGTCTGGTACTTCCAGTTGTTTCAGAGAAATGCCTTCCCAATCTCTTTGCATTTAGCATGTCTCCCTCCTCCTACTGTCAGGAAGGATGTCTGACTTTCAGGCAGACATCACTAAACCAAAAAGTCAAAAAAGAACGGGAATATTTTCTATATTGGCTGAAAAATACTGTGTGGATTGAGTTCCCTGCTGGCAACTTCCAGGATCGCTGCTCTCCAAGTCTAAGGCTTGCAGAGTTGGAGCTGACAGTCAAGTCATTACACTGGACAAGTATGACACCAGATTGTTTTGTAGGATTCATTCTTCCTTGCAAGCCTCAAGGTGCTACAGATATATGTCAAGGTGAGGTAAAGCATCATGAAATAATTCCCTGGAAGGAATACAACTGCAGGAGTTGTCCTTATGCGCCAAAATTTGTCTTGTGACAGGAGGAGCTATGTGAACAGCTCAGGTTTTATCCCAACAGAAGGAGATTTTATCACACTGAAGTAAGGTCTCTAAGCCCTGGGGCCAGGTGATCTGGGTTGGATTTCTGTCAGTGCTGACTGAGCAGCTCTCCTGCTCAGCTGTATACAAGTGATGTCAAGAATGTCTTCTTGGTGATGCAGGATAAACAACCTTAACTATTTTGGATGTTTATCTCACCTTATCATAAACTTACCAAGAAAACAAAAATAAAAATCTGGCTCCTTTTCCACAGTAAATCTTGACATGACTTGAGCCTTTTGCAGTAACTGGGACTCCAAAGCTATGAATTTAAAATTTTAAAATGTACTAAATGTACTAAAAAAAATCCCACAAATCAGTAGCCTAGGAAAAAACAGCATTGGCACCAGCTGCACAAGAAATAAATTTTACAGAAACAATAACCCTTGTTGCAACTTATAGAAGCTTTCTAAAATATGATTTTAAAGTATATTTTTATAGATGCTGAGAATGAT